TCCTGATGTTTGCAATCTTCAATGCCACTTTATTTTATTTTGGGAGATTTGCAGGTGAATCAAGTACCGCAAATGTAGTTTTACCATCAACATTCAAGGATACTTCAGTTGAATATTTCTCTACATTAGGACCAATAGTCTTTATCATTTCATCCCCATCAATCTTGCTTGGTATAACTCTCTGAACTTCTCTCAGCATATCATTTTCACGATTCCCCCATGCTTCCGACAGAGCCACCTTAGCTTGATTCTTTAAATCTCCTCAAAATTTCCAAACCTTCCTTCTATCGCCAAAAAGCGCTCATTCAACGATCTCATATCCATTCGTAGTTGTCTTACTTCCCTCTCCAACTTTTCTTCCAACACCTTAACTCTTCTCCCGGCCATCAGTCCCAAGAAATTCCTTTGATACCAATTTGATAGGCTTTGGAAACAAAAACAGAAAAGAACAAATAAAAAAAATTGCAGTAAAACCAAAACGGTGATTGATTTTGTATTAATACTTCAAAAGGAGAAAATAAGATATAGGTGATCTACAATTCGAGAGGTACATCAGCTCTCCTAATCAACCTAGACGCCACTATGAAGCCCTTAAAGAAAAGAACAACAACAAAACCAAAACTCAGTCATAGCATGATCGGATGATCCTAAAACCCTAGACAACTCCCCCTTAAATAGTATTAGAACACAATAACATAAATAAAACATTCCTAAACAATTTAAATATAATTTAAAAAATCTTCTTAAACAATTACACATAATTTTAAAAACTTTTCTAAACATGATTTAGGAAACCTTCCTAAACAAATTAAACATAATTTAAGAAATCTTCCCAAACAATTAAACAAAAAATAAAAAATCTTCCTAAACAATTAAACATGATATAGGAAACCTTCCTAAATAATTAAACATGATTTAGGAAACCTTCATAAACAAATTAAACATGATTTACGAAATATTCCTAAATTAAACATGATTTAGGAAACATTCTTAAATAAATCAAATATAATTTAGGAAACCTTCCGAAATAATTAAACATTTTCCCTAATTCTTCCTCACATAATGAAAAATAGCTTCCCTAGGTCCCATAAGGTGGGCAACCCGACAAATCACACTATCAAAAACCTCTAACACCCGCCTAATCATCGTCACTCATTTACTCAATCAAAATAGTGGTTCCAATCTAAATAATCCCTCTCTCGAGAAGATTAATAAAAAGGATTTCAACAAAATAAGAAGAAATCCCAAAAAAGAAAAAAGGAAAATATTTATCAAAAAAAAGAGTTTTGGTGTGTTCATTCTCACCCTCACAAATTCATCGTCTAATCATCTTGGCAGCATTGTCAATGCCTAATGTGCCTAAACTTACCTCCACTCCCAAACATTCCCAAAACACCTATGGTAGAGAAGGTTGACATGATTCTGATTGATATCATTTCCACAAGAGAAGGTGGACGACGAAGATATTTGATCAGGTTGAGAGGCAAGCCTGAGTCAGAAGACACGTGGTTAGATCGCGTGGAGCTACAGCAAATTGACCCCGACGCATTGGACATCTATGAGAGCACCCGGGATGCTTACTCAATGGAGCCGAGCTTTTTCCCACCCGGGAGAATGATGGGGGCATCAGATCATGGAAAGTATCAGAGACGTGGTCGTCGATCTACGACCACGATCGCGCCAATCTATTTTTGAGTCCTCATGTATATATTTTATTTAACTATTATATGTATTATTTTAGTTGTATTTCCCTTTTTACCCTTAATGGTTTTTCATGAGTAAGCCCTAAGGGCTAAGTAATCTTTTATTTCTCTGTTCATTGTAAGAGGCTATAATATAGCCCGATATGTTTCTTTCGAGGGGATGAATAACTATAATCAAATTTATGTATATTGAGTTCTTGTGAGAGCTTGAGTGGTTTTGGAGAGAAATCACTTGGAGAGAGAAGCGGATCACCAACCAACCTTGGAAGAATCCAGGTTTGTGGTTATTTTCATCTTATTTCTTTTCCTCTTTCTTCCTCCCTTCCCCTCCATCCCCACTGCCCACCTAAAGCCCTAAACCACCGGCCACCTCCACAAACCCCCACCGCCCGCCAACCATAAGCCTCCACTTTTTCTCCTTTTGGCTCACACCCTAAAATGCAATTAACGCTTATATTCAAATCATTAAAGATATGTATGCATGAGCTATTACTTGTGTTCAAACACAAGGTGGTTTGACCAAGTATTTCCCTATTTAGGTTGGGTTACATCAAGGATCAGCCTTAAGCCCATATCTTTTTGCTTTAGTTATGGATGTTCTCACTAGATATTTGCAAGAGGATGTACCTTGGTGTATGCTTTTGCTGATGATATTCTTCTTGTTGATATGAAGGTAAATTTGAATTATGGAGGTCAACCTTAGAGTCTAAAGGTTTTCGCTTGAGTAGGTCTAAAACGGGATATATGGAGTGTAATTTTAGTAGCAATAGACCTGGTGAGGGGATTGTGACTTTGGGAGATCAAGTCATTAATAAGAGTACAAGTTTTAGATATCTTGGATCTATTGTTCAGAGTAATGGTGAAATAGATGGGGATATTATCAGCAGAATTCAAGTTGGATGGTTGAAGTGGAGGAATGCATCGGGATTATTGTGTGATAGAAAAGTACCCCTCAAACTTAAGGGAAATTCTATAAGATGGTAGTGAGGCCTGCAATGCTTTATGGTGACGAATGTTGGCCATTAAAAGAGAAGCATAATACTAAGTTAAGTGTAGTAGAGATGAGGAAGCTCAGGTGGATGAGTGGTTTTACCCTTAGAGATAGGATACGAAATGAGCATATACATGAAAAGGTTAGAGTAGCTCCAGTAGAAGATAAGATTAGAGAGAGTCGCCTTAGATGGATTGGTCACATAAAACGGCGGCCTTCCGATGACCCGGTTAGGAGAGTAAAGGTATTAAATTTGACTTATGTTAAGAAAGGTAGAGGCAGACCTAAAAAGACTTGGTTAGAAAATATTAAGAATAACCTTTCTTTATTAGATTTAAACGAGAATTTGACTTTTAATAGGACACAATGGAAAAAAAAGGATTCATGTAGCTGACCCCACGTAGTGGGATAAAAGCTATATGTTGTTGTTGTTGTTGTTGTTGGGTTTAATTAAATCTTTACAAATTCCCAATTCCAAAACAAACAACCCTTGATTGCCTTTCCCCAATTCCCTCTCCCCTATTGAAACCGTCGGCCCCTCTCTCTCTATGCCGCCGACCCCCCGTCATTACCCCATTTGATTTCTTTCCAAATTGCAAACCTCTCTCTTTGGGAAGAATTCAAAGCCTCTCCCTCTCTCTTACCCACCCCTCCCTCTCCTCTTTCCCTTTTATTTCTTTCCAAACTTAAGAATTAATTAGGAAAACAAATTCCCAAATTTCCCTCAATCCTTCCTCTCCAAAATCTGAACCAATTCCTTTCCCAAGCACCCACCATTGGCTGGCCACCTCTCACTCTTCTTCTCCTCTTGAATTCTTGAGAGAAACTTCTTTCTCTCAAGGGAAATTTTTAAGGAGAGCAAAGGACGTCGTCTACAACATTTCAACCCTACGAAATCAATGCATGGTCAATCCCGATCTTGACTCCGATTTCGTCTACAACGAACAAGGCCTCGTCGACATCCTCTGGTCGCCTTTCTTCAACGTCAACCCAGAAATAGACAATTCTGTCGAGTACTTGGATCGTATCATCTGCACCTTGTCCGAATCCATCAAAGAGTAGATTTCCATCGTTCAGTGGAAAATCACCACCGTCCCACGAGGGTGAACTTTTTCTCCTATTCAATTTTCTCCTAATCTTCTTCTCTTGTATGTTGTGATTCAAGCACAAGGAGTCGTGCAAAGCTATCTGCCAATGCTTAGTAAATGTAGTACATGATTTTGATTTTCTATGCTTTCTAATCTCATTGTTAACCTAGGGATGCTATTAAAAATCTACATAATTTGCATATGTTGAAATTCTAAATGTTTTGGTGATCTTAGCTTTTAGCATGTGACTTCAGAGTCACCTCTCTTTTTGTTTTCTATTATCGTTTAGTAGCTAATGTTTTAATTCTTTTTGCTCTTATTTCAAAACGTGCAAGTTTTTAACACATTCATTTAAATCATACCTAGTCATGCTTATCATTAGGCACCATAAATAGTTCCCCCCTTCTTTCACACTCATATATTCTTGTCTAAATTTATTTTAATATCCCGAGTCACTGTGCCAATGAGAACATGCATCATAAACTTGTTCGGGTAAACCAGATCCAAAAGATCATACCTCTGAATTTTGTATGCAACCAGTTACTATTCGATCTAGACAATCAAATCCAAAGCTTATTTGGAGAGGACCCTAATCAGAACAAGAATTGGATCCTCAAACAATATAATAGCAACACTAATATGACCAATAATCATCGTAAGAATCTGTTAGACCGGTCCACTGGACCGGTCCAGCCCGTTCGCATGGGACCGGCATTTCGTGAGATCTCCGCCTCCTGTGGAGATCGGGCGTCCCGAGCGCCCAAGCTGACCATTTTAGGAAGGATTTTCTAGGGGGGAAATTTGAATGTTAGGATTGTTTAGGGGTTTCCTTTTGATTTGTATGCATTAAATAGTCGATTTTCCTAGTGTTTGGATGTCTTAAAATTGGCTGAAATTTGAGATCTCTTATATTTAGGTTTTCTTTGGGCTCTAGCGGCATCTAGAGATTTGGGAGAGATCGATCCTCCTCTCGAATTGGGGATCAAGTGAATATTTCTATTTTCCGTGTTCCTTTCATCAAATAATACAAATTATCTACTGATTTTGTGATTTTTGTGTGGAGTTTTGCGAAGATTCTCGCTGTTTTGAGAGAATGATAGGAAATACTCGCGATCTACAAGTGTTTCCTATCAGAATCAAACCTTGGACAGGCACAAGTCAAATGTCCAACATTTTAGTTAAATAAAAATATGCTTATCAAACTGTTTCCAAACAAACCTCCTGCTGATGTGCCTCAATTAATTCCAGTTGTCTCACCAAGCTAGCTTGAGTTTCCACAACTTTGGCCACCTCAGCCTGCAGAAAGAGTGCAAAACAAAATCTACATGGCATCGTCAAGCTAAATAACAGATAAACATTCAGGATGGAGCTTTAGTTACAGCCAATCCTAAATTCCAAAGGGGACCTTCATTAACGATGAGAGTAGGACAAAACATAAAATAACCAGAACAAAATCCATATTTATTTATTTATTTATTAAAAGAGCTATTTATGAAAATAGAAGTGAATAGAAAAAGGACTTGCAATCAAAATAAATAAGGATAAGCATCAAAACAGGCAACCATTAAAACAACCTAATGGGACCATACTTCTTCAATCTACACAATTTGTAGTAAACTTTTCACATTAATGAAATTAACAACGGAGTAAAGTTAAACTCACTGCGATCTTAAAAATCACATAATCGAGCACTATTTTTTAAGTAAATTACACATTTCAAAGAACCTCAAAAGGTCGAGCATACACTCAATTTACTCTGAAAAACTAATTCAAAAACCAAATAAACTTGAAACAATGCAAAATTATCCTGCCAAGGACTTGCTCTTCCTTAAAAATTTATTGACAATAAGATCACGAAATTCAGAGCTTTAAAAAAACACAAATGGACTAGACTGGCCCAAACCAAATTGATTTGAACAAGTATAACAAGGTATAATCATGCCACCATTATGGTCACCTAGGAGACAAAGATTAAATTCATAGGTACATCTTCGAGCAAGCAGCATGACAACATTGTCCAATCACGTTAGTGAGAACTCATTATAGTGCAAATCATTCGTGTATGTTTTGACTTAAAATCCTCGAAACCTCCAAAGATCAAACAAACTTGAAAGTTGAAACAATGCAAAAATATCCTAGCAAGGACTTTCGCGTCATGAAAAATTCAATAACAACAAGATCGTGAAATTCAAAGCTGTAAAATGCACAAATGGGCAAACCTTGCTCAAACTGATCTGGCTTGAACAAGCACAGCCTAGGATACTCCCCACCATTGTTATCGCCACCTAGGGACCAAATCACCAATTTTAGGGACCTTTTAGGTTCGAGCAGGATATCAACATTGTCCAATCACGTTAGCAAGAAACTTATTATAGTGCAAATCATTCAAGCTTTGACTTCTTCAAATCGTTGAAACCTCCATGACCTCTAATTCAAAGACCAAAAAAGCTTGAAACAATGTAAAAATATCCTGCCAATGACTCTCTCTTAATGAAAAATTCATTGACAACAAGATCGTGAAATTCAGAGTTTCAGAAAGCACAAATGGACTAAACTGGCCCAAACCAAACTGACTTGAACAAGCACAGCCTAGGACAATCCCGTCATTGTTATCAACACTCTTATCGCCACTTAGGGGCCAAATCACCTATTCATAGGTACATCTCCAGGAGAGCATCATCAACATTATCTAACCACATTAGTGAAAACTTATTATAGTGCAAATCATTCATGTATGCTTTGACTTCTTACAATCGTTGAAACCTCCATGGAACTTCATTATCAAACCATTTACACAAAATGACACCACTCAAAGATGAAAATTTTATGAATTAGTCTCACCTTCAACCAATGAAATTTTGATTTTCAACTTCATTAACTAATAGCGATCAGATCAATAAGATGGTATATTTCAATACTTGATAGGAGACATCGTCAATAGAAATTGCCTTCAAACTACCATCACTAGCCACCAAGGTCATCAAGCCAAAGCAAACAAGCCAAGAGAAAGTATCGTCAGGTCATGTCAATTGTAAGAGAGCGCAATGCATAATTTGTTATTGATAAGTAAAGGAAATATTATGCATATTTCCAACAATAGCCAGAATAATCTCAAAATTTATAAATAAGCTGCAATTCAATTCACTTGGGATATTCTGGACATTTGAGAATTCAAGAGTACTAAAGATTGTCTGGATACTCATGAAGTTTTATTACGAACAAGCATTTCCTTAAAGACTATTTGAAACAACCTCACTTATGTTGAGCCATCTACTTCAAGACTTGCATCACAATGTTACTTTATATTGTACCTGCACCGCAACATTGCTTGCTTCACAGTTATCTACTTCAAGACTCATGTAGCACGCTGGCTTTTAATTCATACCTGCACCATAGTCATCACCACAAGGCATCTATGATAGGAAACACTTGTAGATCTCAAGTATTTCCTATCAATCTTCGAAAAACAGCGAGCTTTCACCACAATAGTCCGCACAAAATCATAAAAAACAGTAGATAATGTATTATTTGATGAAACGAACACGGAAAATAGCTAGATAGACTTGATCTTCAATTCGAGAGGAGGATCGATCTCTCCCAAATCTCTAGACACCGCTAGAGACCAACAGAAAACCCAAATCTAAGAGATCTCAAATTTCAACCAAATTCAAGATGCCCTAACCCTAGGAAAACAAACTATTTAATGCATACAAATCAAAAGAAAATCCCTAAACAATCCCTACATTTAAATTTCCCTCTTAATTCCCCAAAAAACCTTCCTATTCGGCTCCCGCAAGGCTAAGTGATTCACTAAGTTTGAACATCAGTAGGAGCAGATAGCAATGGATTTTATAGTTGGCTTACCTTGATAAAAACATGGTCATGATGTAATTTGCAAACTCACCAAAATCATTCATTTTCTAAACAAAATATGAATAGCATTATTCGACTGCACTGAATTCTAATGGTAATCGTATAAAATGGTGATGAAAGATTTACCTCTACATTGTGAAAGAAGTGCAAAAAGCTTTGGATACGAGGTTGAACTTCAGCACTGTGTTACATCCTCAAACGGAAGATCACTCAAAGCCGACCATTCATAATACATTAGAAGATTTGTTGAGAGATTGCATTCTTGAATTTAAAGGTAACTAGAAGATTACATCCCACTCATGGAGTTTGCCTACAACAATTTTCAAGTTAGCATCGATGCAGCAACATATGAGGCTCTTTTCGGAATGATGTGAGATCCTTTGTGTTGGTTTGAGGTTGGTGAGAGGAAACTCCTAGGGCCTCATGTACTTGATCAAGCTACCAAGAAAAAATTCACCAAATTCAAAAAAATAACCCTTTAGAAGCATCTAAGAAAATATTTTAACCCTAAGAATAGAGAGATTGAGTTTGAGGTTGGAGTTCACAACTGCGTAAGCTATAAGATTTGGCAAGAGCGGAAACTCCAGTCCCGCTTCATTGGACCAATTGAGGTGATCCAGACATCTGACAAAACTTCTTATCGCTTGGCTTTTCCTTTGAGACATACAGGAGTTCAAGATGTTTTTCAGATCACCTTCCTACTAGCTATGTAAACGATGATTCTCATAGAATCTGTTACGAGTAACATTGGACCGGTCCCGGCTGGACCGGTCCAGTTCTACACCCGGCGGTCCAGGGCCGTGCGGAACCCGCCGATCACAAAAACGGCGGACGAAGGGAGCGGGCTAGGCGGATTTTGAGCGTTTCGTTGGAGGGAATTTTTGAATGAGGGTGTTTATGTAATTTGTATCTATCCTTTTGCTTTAATTAGAGAGTTATGAGAGAATTAGGGGGCATCTTGAATTTGAGTTTTCTCTTTGAGATCTAGGTTTTGTTTTGGGCTCTTGGCTTCGCCGGAGACTTTGGAGAGTACGTTCTTCCTCTCGAATTGAAGAACAAATTGTATCTTTGCTATTTTATTCGTCTACTAATAAAATACTAGCCTTTGCTTGCGATTGGATCTCAGTTTTCTCGCATTTCCTCACTGTTTTTCCTGTGTAAAGCTGCTGTCCACTGCTGGAGACAGCAGTTTTTCCCTTGTTCCGCTTCAGTTTTGGCTAGGAATTACTTGATTTCAAGTATTTCCTATCAAATTGGTATCAGAGCGTCGATTTGGGACCACCGGCGGCTGCAATTCTGAAATTTCAGCAAGTTTATCTTTTCCGGAAGAAGATTTTTTGGGATCCGTTAGAAGAGCGATGGCCGGAAAGAAGGTGGACGTCTTGGAAGGCGAAATCGGTCAATTGAAAACCGATTTGGAAGAAAGATTTTTTGAATTTCAAAATCAAATCACCACCAACAACGAAAGGTTGGAGGAAAAATTCACGGTAATGGAAGAAATGATGAAGAAATTATTGGAGATGAAGACTAATCCAACGACGTCGGAAGCAAGAGAGACTACCGGAGACCACGGCGTAGGAGGAAATCCGAACCCGTGTAGAGGGAGGAGGAATCCGGATGTAGAGGTCCTTGAGGGAGACGACGACATGCCACCTCTAGAGCCACTTTCTAGAGAGGATATGAGCATGGAAAATGATCGTCGAGGTGCTGATTTTCAGGGTCGAGGTGCTGAATTTCAACGTCCAGGTGCTGATTTTGAAGGCAGGAGAGGGGAATATGAGGGAAGTGCAGATTTTGGCGAAAGAAGAGAAGAATTTCAGCGTCGAGGTGCTGAATTTCAGCGTCGATGTGCTGATTTTGAAAGGGGAAGAGGGGAATATGACGACGGATTCGGATACCAACGTCGGAGGGAGGACCGGGACCCTTGGGGAGAACCTCCTCTTCGAGGAATGGGAGGTTATGGAGAGTACCGGGGTAACGGAAGGGATCCGAAGGTGAGAAAGTTGAAGATGCCCATCTTTGAGGGTGAAGATGGCCATGGCTGGATATACAAGGTGGAGCATTACTTTGCTGTCAACGGGTTGACAGATGATGAGAAGCTAACGGCGGCTGGATTGTGTTTGGAAGGGAAGGCGTTGGCATGGTATCAGTGGCGAGACAGGAGAGAGCCTATCAGGAACTGGAGAGAGTTCAAGGATTGTTTATTAGAGCGTTTCTGAGCCGATGGGGGAGGAGACTTCTATGAGCAGTTCTTTGCTCTGACTTAGGAGGGGACCGTGGCCGACTACCAGGACCGATTCGAGTACTTGGCTAGCCGTCTGGATCACATCTCAGACTCGGCCCTGGAGGGGAATTTCATGAAGGGGCTCAAATCGAAGATAAGAACAGCTGTCATAGTGCTGGAGCCAAGGAACTTAGGCAAGGCCATGGCACTTGCACAATTAGTGGAAGACTAAAAGAGATCAGAAAGAGGA